CGATGGCAGAGGAGGCCGAGGAGCCCAGCGCTTAGGGGCCCCAGACATCACAGAGTCTTCGGGACGGGTCATGTTTGGTTGTTAAGTTTAATGTTTGTGTGTGTGTGTGTGTCTGTATGTATGTAGGCATGGTCGAGTGCGAGTGCCAAAATGTATGTAGGCATGTATTATGGATGGACACGAGCACAGCTTTCGTGATCGTGTGAGAGCCCCTCAGCCGCCTCGGCGATGAGGCGACTCTCCGTGCTCTTGGAGTCCGAAGTCACAGCAACTCGGTCATGAAGTCTTGAGCTTGGGGCTTGAAAGGTTCTAAAAACCCACTCTGGCTTATGTATGTGTATCCATGCATACAGATCGAAGAGTAGGATCCTTCTTACAATGCTACATATTACAATCAAGGACCCCGAAGCTTCTCAGCATCACACCGGCGAGGCCCGACAGCAAGCTGCTGAGCATCAACAGCGCGCCAAAGAAGCCGAGCTCCAGGTCTCCTGCGTTCATACCGGGAGGTTCCGAAAATTAGGGTAGCTTACTTTGGGGTCCTTATAATATGGATCCTACTACCCCTATCTTCGGAACTCCCCATACTGAGGGTCCAGCCTGTCAGAGCCGAGGGAGTGGGAGTCTCAGGAAAAATGATCCCAAAAATAGACCCACACATGGTGTGGGATGTTTTGGTATACATATGGGTGGTTGTCAAAATTATGGTCCCTTTTTGGGTCCTTATTATAATACGGCACCTATTATTTAGGGTACCCCCAAAAGGGACCCTAATTTTGACAACTACCCATATTCCTTGAAGAAGATACTGGTACCCCTGAAGAAAGCTTCGTACAACTGTTTAGTCTAGACAGAAACCATTCAGACGCTACGAAGCCCCATAGTCCCGTCTGCATCTGCAGGAGAGTAAGCTGAAGAAGGAGCTGCAGGAGGAGGTCGAAGAAACTCGTCTGCATGGGCCGCTTTCATATGGTATGTAGGGCTTACGTTGATGTGCAGGGTAAAGCCGGTGCTTTTTGAAGTTTAGGCGAATCAGAGAAGCAAAGCGACGACGCTGGTGGCTGAACACCAAGCTCAGCTTCAGGAGCACAAGGCACCTCTTCAAGCAATTCTTCCGCTTTCATTCAACAGCCGGGTACGAGACGGGAGGTTCGCAGATGGGACGCGAAAACAGACCCTGAATTCGTACACTTTGGGAGCTCCACGGGAACTCGTCGGCATCTTTTGACAGGCAATGTCCGAGATTGCCACAGCCCTGGCAATGCAAGAAGCCGAGGCAAAAGTTTGGGGGCAAGAACAGTTGTTGATATTGGTTGACATGGGATGGGCTTCTAGCAAGCTGGAGGACACACGCCCCCTTAACTCTCTGCGTGCCCTCGTGCGAGCAGATTTCGTGTCATCAGGCCAGCGAGGCCCGACAGCGAGCTGCTGAACATCAACAGCGTGCCAAAGAAGCTGAGCTCCAGGATCACTCGTAGAGAACTGCTCCGTCGTTCATACTGAGAGTCTGTCGAGCTGTGAGAGACACGGAAGTCGCAGGATCACACAACCGCTGTATGTCTGGGATAAGAAGCATTGATCCTTAGAAGGTGCCCTTGCGTCAAGACTCCCGCTAAAGCCCTAAAACGCCCTGTAGGGCCCTCTTGGAAACCCTGTAAGACCTTCAGATGATGTGCGGCATGTGCAGGAGAGCAAGCTGGAGAGAGAGCTGCAGGAGGAGGTGGAGGAAACTCGTTTGCATGGGCTGTTTTCATTTCGAGAGGGTTTATGTGTTGAGGGCAAAACCCATGTGTTGTGTGAAGCCCAGGCGACTCAGAAAAGCAGAGTGGCGCTGGCAGCTGAACACAAAGCTCTTCTGCAAGAGCTGCAGGAGCGGCGGGCACCTGTTCAAGCACTTACTCGGTTCGCGGGTAGGGACGGGAGTTTAAAGCAGCAGCGCATGCCCTCATGCGATCATGTGTCCCGTAATCAGGCCAGCGAGGCCCGTCAGCGAGCTGTTGAACATCAGCCACACGCTGAAGAAGATGAGCTCCAGGATCACTCCAAAAAAACTGCTTCATTCGTCCACGTTAAGACTGAAGCCTGTAGAAAGAGAGTGACCCAAAATGTCACATAGTCTTGGCACAAAGATCCGCAGATAAGGTGTTGCCGAAAGGTAGGGGTGCCAGGTGTTCCTACCTTCAAGAAGCCCTTGAACAAAGGCAGCTTCCCATGTTCTGCATCTGCAGGAGAGCAAGCTACTCTTAGAGAGGGAGCTGCGCGAGGAGGTGGAAGAAACTCGTTTGAATGGGCCGCCGGTTGGAAAAGGTCTAGCTGCAGGTGTTTCGGAGTAAGCCCATTGTGTGAAGTCCAGGCACAGCAGAAGAGCAAAGCGGCGCTGGTGGCTGAACACCAAGCTCTTCTGCAGGAGCAGCGGGCACCTGTTCAAGCAATTCATCTTTTCGGGCGCGCAGGGTATGCCGGCTATGTGATCTCGCTGAGATGTTTGAGAGGCAATTTCCGCGATTTCCGAGCAGGGTGCCGCAGCCCTGGCAATACAGGAAGCCGAGGCACAGTTTGGGGCCGAGAAAAGTTGCAGGCACAGGAAAGGGCTTCATGCACCCTGGAGTCCGCTTGCCCCTTCAATTGCACGTGCGGTATGTATCCGAATGGCCGCAGATTGTTCGACGAGATGCAACCCTACTGGCAAACTTTGCATGCCCTCATGCGAACAGATTTCGTGTCATCAGGCCAGCGAGGCCCGACAGCAAGCTGCTGAACACCAACAGCGTGCCAAAGAGGCTGAACTGCTCCGTCATGCTGAGAATCTAACGAGCTGTGAAAGACAAGCAAGTCTCTGAAAATTAGGGATGCTATCATACACAGACCCTCAGACGCATCTTCGGGCATCATGATCCTTAAAGTAGGTGCGCTGGCTTTAAGAAGCCCTTCAAAAGCTACATTCCTACATCGCCCTTTCGAAGATAAAGCCCTCTTGAAAACCCTGTATGACCTTCAGATGGTGTGCTGCATGTACAGGAGAGCAAGCTAGCGAGGGAGCTGCGGGACGAGGTGGAGGAAACTCGTTTGCATGAGCTGGTTGCATTTCGAGAGGGTTTATGTGTTGAGGGCAAAACCCATGTGTTGTGTGAAGCCCAGGCGAATCAGAAAAGCAGAGTGGCGCTGGCAGCTGAACACAAAGCTCTTCTGCAAGAGCTGCAGGAGCGGTGGGCACCTGTTCAAGCACTTACTCGGTTCGCGGGTAGGGACGGGAGTTTAAAGCAGCAGCGCATGCCCTCATGCGATCATGTGTCCCGTAATCAGGCCAGCGAGGCCCGTCAGCGAGCTGTTGAACATCAGCCACGCGCTGAAGAAGATGAGCTCCAGGATCACTCCAAAAAAACTGCTTCATTCGTCCACGTTAAGACTGAAGCCTGTAGAAAGAGGGTGACCCAAAGTGTCAAATTGTCTTGGCACAAAGATCCGCAGATAAGGTGTTGCCGAAAGGTAGGGGTGCCAGGTGTTCCTACCTTCAAGAAGCCCTTGAACAAAGGCAGCTTCCCATGTTCTGCATCTGCAGGAGAGCAAGCTACTCTTAGAGAGGGAGCTGCGCGAGGAGGTGGAAGAAACTCGTTTGAATGGGCCGCCGTTTGGAAATGGTCTAGCTGCAGGTGTTTCGGAGTAAGCCCATTGTGTGAAGTCCAGGCACAGCAGAAGAGCAGAGCGGCGCTGGTGGCTGAACACCAAGCTCTTCTGCAGGAGCAGCGGGCACCTGTTCAAGCAATTCATCTTCTCGGGCGCGCAGGGTATCGTGGCTATGTGATCTCGTTGAGATGTTTGAGAGGCAATTTCCGCGATTTCCGAGCAGGGTGCCGCAGCCCTGGCAATGCAGGAAGCCGAGGCACAGTTTGGGGCCGAGAAAAGTTGCAGGCACAGGAAAGGGCTTCATGCACCCTGGAGTCCGCTTGCCCCTTCAATTGCACGTGCGGTATGTATCCGAATGGCCGCAGATTGTTCGACGAGATGCAACCCTACTGGCAAACTTTGCATGCCCTCATGCGAACAGATTTCGTGATTTCGTGTCATCAGGCCAGCGAGGCCCGACAGCAAGCTGCTGAACACCAACAGCGTGCCA